ACGTATTAAACGTTTTGAAGCAGAAATGTTTATTCTCTGTGGGGGGAAAAAAACAACTTTCTCAAAGATGAAAGTCTTGCTTTTAGCTCTGAGTTCATTACAGATTCTGGGTTACTGTGAGTGCAAACAATTAACAATGCCCTTTAACTCTATTCATGATCAGCAAACAAATGCTTAACAGAGACTATAACAGCTTAGCCCTTGTCTGTAAAAACATGCCTACCAGTTTCAATAAAAGAGCATCTGCATTTGTATCACAAGCAAGTTACAAACGTCCAAGCTTTATATTTCATTATTGATACTCTCGTCTGACCTGCAAAGTCTGCAGTTGTCAGGCTTATTAAAGAGTGTCGAAATAAGACATGAGAGAAAAGAGAAGGACAAAGATCTATACTGTGGTTCATGCAGCCTGACATGACGTTTCTTTATTATTAGTTTTCGTTGAAATAATAACTTCACAAGTTGACATCACTCCACTACTGTGCTGCCCTCTACGTTTTCTCCCTTGACTCCCAATTGTCAGCTATTTCTATCATTTTCTAAAGGAAAATGCAATTTGTTGACTTTCTTTCCTGATGATCAATGCCCTGTTCTAAGAAATTTGATTTGAATGAAACCTAATTCATGCCTAAAAGCTTTGACGGAGACATCCAACTCTCCAGAAAAGAGCTATTAGAATTCCATTAAAGCTTTTTCTGGCAATCAGTTCATTGATATCTGACAAGGGATTTCCATGTGTAGACATTAAAACAGTTACTACCTGTACCGTCTTAAAGCTGTCTAGTGGCAGGTACAGTATGTTTCGGGAAGGTATGTGTGCAAGGCACAGAGATAGCTTGTAGGTATATTTAGATAGATCAAATACTGTGTAAAATGCAGAAAACAGGTTTGTATGTAAATATAGGCACTATAGTCAACCTGAAGAAATTGACTGTATTTTAGAAAGTTTCAGATTTCATGAAAACAGCAAGTGAGTTAGAAAGAAGGGGGATTAAGTGGGAGATAAAACATCCCTAACGGCTTAAAAAATCTTGCACTTCATGCACAGACAAGGGCTAAGCTTTTATAGCCTCTGTTAAGCGTTTGTTTGCTGATCATGAATAGTTAGAGGCCATTGACAATTGTGTCCATTCGCTGCAGTGGAATGTAACCTAGAATCTGTAACGGATTTCTTACTTTTTAAAAATAAACCCCACAATGTTTCAAGAATGTTCTTGTTTTTATATTTATTTCCCGGTCGTTATCTATCTCTAGCCTCCCACCCTACTAGAGATAATAAAACAGGAGTTAAAACACATTGTTATCTGTCAGAAAAAGATGTTAATAACACTTTTTTTTTTCTTTGAAGAGCTCCCTCTGTGGTCCAGCAACAGGCATCGTTCTCATCTAAAAAATATCATATAAAACTTCCCTGTGGGGATACTCCGCTTTACTTTTCTATTTAAGAGTACGGTGCAGTAGCTGGGTGCCTCAGCAGTGTGATTAAAATTGTGCCAGATGCTTTTGTCGGAATGTTGCTTGCCGAAGACACAAGCAACGTTGGGTCTTAATACTGTGCCTGTACCGATCTGTCATTTTTAATGACATAAGGGAACAAAGGCTATGTTTGCTCTCTCCCAGCTCAGGGATTACGAACACAAGACAGGTGACCCTTCTAGCCCCTTAGGTAGCTAGTAGTTAATTATTGCCTTAGCAGGAGGAGAGGGCTTTTGCCTGCGTCACGCAATTTCTTCTAAAACGTTCTGCGTCTGGCGTAAACAAAGAGCGCTGCTGTTGCATTTGGCCGAAGTCGATTCAAGTGTTTTAAATGCCTCTGTGCATGGGTAAAAAAACGTACGATTACTAGATGCCTTCTGCATCACACTTCTGTGTCACGGTTGCTGTAGGTTTTTTTTTTTGCGTTGGGGTATGGAAAATCTGCTAGGATCTATAATGGAAATGCGGCGGGACATCAGAGCATCAGCCCACACACTTCCCGGAGAACAGTAAACTTAGGGTGACCAGACGTCCTCTTTATCCCGGGCATGTCCTCTATTTGAGACCTGAAATAGCGGTCCGACCGGAATTTCTAAAATTCAAAAAAACTGTCCGGGATTTTCCTTTGCTCGTTACTCAGACTGTGTAAACAAACATAGGCCTACATATTTTCGTTCGTTCCATGCATTACCGGTAGATGTTTTGAACTTACACGCAGCGTAGCTTGAAAAGGGTTTTTGTGTGTGTGGATGTTTTTATGGCCATGAGAAATAACAAATGTTTGACTTGTTTCATTATTTTGTTTCGTTAAAATTGTTCATTTTTGCAAACAATGAGGACAAGTTATGATGTCTTCATTTTTCCTAAGATGTTAAGACTTTTGTTGTTAAAATGGAAAAACGTTTTAAGTTTAAGAATAGGGCTATATTTGAGTTTTTTCCTTGTTTGTCATTATGGAAGAGAAATAGCAACCCGGCAACTGTTTACTAAGTTTACTAAGAAGTGTAATAAAAACTAGAGAGTTTAAATTGATTTTTTTTTATTAGAGGTTAGAAAGATGCATTACTTTGGAGGCATGTGCCGAGTGCCGATTATTCCCCTCCCCACATTTTTTGAAAACCGAAATATAGTCACCCTACTAAACTGCAACATTTTGCAGATCTGCAGGAATCTGCGCCACAAGAACGCGTGCAAAACTTTTGTCAAAAGCCTTTGTGTTCTGTAGAGACAACACACAATGAGTGCACTAACGAGGGATTCTTGCTTTAAGGTGTTTCTGGAGGAACGCGCTGTTACGCAGGGCTGCGTCTGCCTGCGCTACAAAAATGATATTCAGGACGTGGCCAACTGACAATAGTCTCGGTGTTGTTCATAACGATGAATGTAGTATGAAAAGGCTGCTGGTATCCAGGTACTGGGAGCAGGGAGAGTAAAATTGCACCGCACACACATACTGTAGGAATAATTTAGAGCCAATTAACCTAGCCTGCATGTTATTTTAGCTTTAAGAGTGAATTGGTAACTGAAGGCATGGTAGTTGTTCCAGAGTTTATCACCCAGAACATGATAAAAATCAAGTGATGAGAAAACTTTTACAACTCAATTATTTATTCAAAACACAAAAGGACATAGTTACCCTTTTCTGAACTAATGGTGTTTCTATTATGAAGACCTAATAATACAAACAGGTGAAAAAGTAGGAATTTTATGTGGAGGAACAAGTCATAGTTTATTCCATACTGAAACGCTTACACCCGAAGAAGGCTCCACAGCAGAAACGTTTCCTTTCTTCTCTTTTCAGCATGGAATAAACCTATTACTTGTTCCTTTGTAGCCTACGCATGCTGACGCAGCTCCCCACCTAGTTTATATGGCCGAGTGTAAAAAATGGGCATGGGACAGGGCTGTAGTTGCATTGAATGGCCAGTGTCACCCTAAAGCTGACATCACACTTTTTGTTCAAATTTAATGAACTGCAGTTGTTGAATCTCGCTGCCTTTTCTGTCCTAGAGAGTGTCAAATTATACGACTAGGAATCGGCAGGGGGTAACTAATTCCACGATTCCCTCATGACTTTTCATCACGGTTCCAAATCTCGTATTGCGCTACGAAAGTACCCCGAGGTCACCTCATTTTCGCAGCCAATCAACGTGGAGCGCACTGGAATAAGAAGAGGAGCGCACGAAAATAAACAAAAAACAAACACGAAACGTCGAACAGACATCTGTGCTGGCTCCAGAGTTCAACGAGCCTCCATTTGCACAGTCCAGAACACTCGCTTCCCTTCTTCCGGCGTACCCCCGCTTGAGAACCACTGATAATAATTAATAATAATAGTTGCTTACACTTATATAGCACTTTTCTGGACACTCCACTCAAAGCGCTTTACAGGTAATGGGGACTCCCCTCCACCACCACCAATGTGCAGCATCCACCTGGATGATGCGACGGCAGCCATAGTGCGCCAGAACGCTCACCACACATCAGATATCCGTGGGGAGGAGAGGAGAGTAATGTAGCCGATTCATAAAGAGGGATTATTAGGAGGCCATGATTGGTAAGGACCAATGGGAAATTTGGCCAGGACACCAGGGTTACATCCCTACTCTTTTCGAGAAACGGATTTTTAATGAGTCAGGACCTCGGTTTTACATCTCATCCGAAGGACAGCGCCTGTTTACAGTATAGTGTCCCCGTCACTATACTGGGGCATTAGGACCCACACAGACCACAGGGTGAGCACCCCCTGCTGGCCCCACTAACACCTCTTCCAGCAGCAACCTTAGTTTTTCCCAGGAGGTCTCTCATCCAGGTACTGACCAGGCTCACACCTGCTTAGCTTCAGTGGGTTGCCAGTTGTGAGTTGCAGGGTGATATGGCTGCTGGCTATATATACTGATCTATATAGACTCCTCTGCCGCACCCACCTTTGTCCTGCTTTGCCCTTATGTTACCTCAAAGGCAGCACAGTCCAGTTTAGGAGGTTCAGTGCTGATTAGAGAAGCAGAGCCACAGACCTGCAAAAGCAAATGCAGTTTCCAGCAAGAAAGCTGCAGGAAGGCACTGTGAGCTGACTAATCCCACCCTTCCCTCAATCAGCCACGTCTTCTTGCATGGAGGTTCCCTGTCACGGCCTGACTCGAACCTGCAATGCCTGTATCGCATAGCTCATCCTTGATGTGGGTCTCTGTCTGTTCAGGGCTTGGGAGCTTCAAACATTGTTCAGGGGGTGTGAAGAAACAAAGATTATCTTTCAATTCCCAGTGTAGTAGCGTGTAAAAGTTAGGGAATCAGTGAAAAAGAAACTGAATCTTATAAGGGATTAGTTGATCTGCAGTTCTTCTCTTAACACCACACAGGTCATAGCAGTATTATATAATAAGATCATGCTGAGATGTATCATGTTAAATGTGTTGTCTATATTGTAGTGGGTTTCATGCAAAGGGAGACATAAGGGTTGAAAACTACATGATGTACAGTAGCGAACCCAGGGAAAAACTTCTGTTGGCCGACTACTTCTGGAAACTCGGATACAAACAGGAAGTGCCAGGCAGGCGGCTGGTTTTCTCAGTACAGTATTTTCTCGTGTATTCGTCGGCAAAGATGATGTCGATAGCTTGTAAACGGAGCTTGGTGCTCGTGGCTTTTGGTTTTGCCGTTGCCCCGTTTTGTTCCGCCGGCAACGTCATGCGAGGTGCAAAAGCGAACCATCGTGCTGGAGATACACCAGCCATTGCTGAATATTTCGGTACTAAAAGCAGGTACGAAGAGGTGAATCCTCACCTCATAGACGATGCGCTTGCTGTCAACGAATCTCTCTTAAAGCTCCCTTACAACGATTGCGTCCCAGTCCACCTTACCGCCGTCATTCGTCACGGTACAAGGTACCCAACGGCGAAGAACATCAAAAAGCTGCACCAGCTGCACAAGGTGGTGCTGGAGAAGGCGCAGGACCTGGGCGAGGGCTGGTTGGACGAGATCAAAAACAGGTGGAAGATGGACTACACCGATGACATCGACGGGAACATAGCCGAGAAGGGCAGAGAGGACCACAGAAACCTGGCAGTTAGGCTGGCAAAAACCTTCCCCTCCCTCTTCACGGCGGATAATTTCCGTCAGGATCGGATGCAATTCATCACCAGCACCAAGCCGAGGTGCGAGGACAGCGCCAAGGCTTTCATCCAGGGACTGGTGATGCACCACTGGGAGCTGAAGGGGCCTTTGGACGGTATGCAAACTTAGTACCAGAGTGATTTTAATTTCACGTTTAGATCATCTTCGAGTGACCGCGGAGATCTGTGTAGTAAGCAGTGTTTTTTTTTTCTTTTGCTACTTTGTTTCCGGGCGTTCCTGTGGCGTTCTCTGATTTAACGCAGTGCCCTGCAGGTCTACTTATATGTCATGTCATGTCATGTCATTTGCCAAACTGCTTTATACCATACGGTGTCGCGGGAAGCCGGAGCCTACCCGGCAATCAACGAGCGCAAGGCAGGGTACACCCTGGACAAGACGCCAGTCCATCGCAGGGCAAGTGCAAGCCAATCACACATGGGGACAATGGAGGCCATGGTAAAGGCTGAGGGGGGTGGAATTTGGCCTGGACACTGGGATAACTCCCTACTCTTATCGATAAAGTCTCCTTACATCTTTAGCCAAAAGTAAATGTGATGAAATTGAAAGATTTATCATTTCATACTGGAAAGCAAAAAGAATTCGAGTCCTAGTGTTCAAGTTTCTCTAACTGCACCTCTAAATAGTGGTCATCCATTTGCTAGTTTCACTTCTAAGTTAATGAATAAAACAGAGGAGAAAGAGCTTGAAAATATTAGTGTAAATAACGTCAGAATTATTTTTATGATAAAGGCTGCCATCCTGCCTTTTATATATTTTATAGCATTATGTATTCATACTTTTAGTTTATTGACCTTTGATATAGCCACATTTGACGTGGTATGGACATCATTACTAAATGCTGAGTGGGGTGATTAAGTGATTGTTTCCTCTTAATGTTTTGTACATTGATTCATGTTTTTCTTGCAGTTGAGAAGCATCTTCAAAGAAACGATAACCTGATGCGATTCTTCGAGCATTGCCGGAGGTTTGTTGTCGATGTGGAGGAGAATAAGACAGCCCTGAAGGAGGTGGATCTGTTCAAAACCAAGGCAGAAATGAAGACAGTTCTTGAAAAGGTAGCCAGTCGGCTGCATACTGCATACAGTGACCTAACTCCAGGTAAAAGTCCGCACTACACCCACTAATTAATCATATTAAGAAGCAAGAGTTTTAGAAATAGGCATATCTAGTTTTAATGAATCGATTCTTTCATTAAATGGTGCAAAGAAAAATGACAGAAACCTCTGAGCAGAAGTGCCCGTCTGTAGTCCTGCATGGTCAGTATCCAACAGGTTGCACAGATCACTTTATATTACCAAAAGCTGAAGATCTTTGAAAAGTGTTTAATTTGTTTTATAATCATAGGCACAATTTCAGTTAGCTCACTGCTGGAGCCCAGTGACTAGAGTTGTGTAGTTGTGGTTGTGCCAAAGCTCACTACTAAAAATTACCATTATATTTTATCTCCACTAGATGGTGGTATTACCTAAATGTTTTAACAACACATTATAGCGGGTGTAAAACTTGGGCAAGGCTGTGGTTTTCACAACTTTGAACTTTCCAATAAATGATTTGCTCAATTTATCCTTAATTGCTCATTTGACCCATGTGTTGAAGATCACTTTGATATTTAAAGATTAGGAGGAACAGATGATTTGCATTTGCAGGGGAATGGAATTTCTGAAGTCCAGTCTGTCTGCAATGCAGCATACTCAGGATCAGTACACACGAAATGAAGTGATTCTTTCTGACAGTAACTTTACACAAACAACATTAAATTTAATTTAAGAGCTACAGGTCAATACAGTATACAGGAACAATGTGCAATTTCATTTTTCTTTCAATACATTTTAAATGTATGTTGAATTTGTGGTTCTGATCAGATTCAAACATTGCATAGTTTTTATACTTTTTCTTTTAAAAGAAATTGAAGGTGAATTTCATGTGTGATCCAAATTGAACTTTTAAGTACTGCAGCAAATTGACTTGATGTGTAATTATATTGTTATAAAAAGGGCATTAACAAAATGGTGCATAAAATGACTGAGCGGATTAATCAAGAAATAAAGTAAATTACACCTGACTTGTAAATGATTTTGCCAAGAATTTACCTGAACAGTTGGTATAATTAGAGGCACATGAGTTCTTTGTTTTCTGACACAGCTTTGGTGAAAAGAGTAATAATTAATGTACACTAAACAAATATTTATTACCAATGATAATGCACACACTAAACAGCACATAACAAACATACACAAGTTACACAATGTACAACTTTACAAATAAGGCGTTTCAGAAGGCTACTACCTAATCACCTCAAATAAACAGATAGCTGCCAAGTTTGCAGCTTTTATTTAATGCCTACAAAGACCGAAAGAAGAGAAAACTACCTTCAAAATTAAAAAGAATATGACCTGCAGTTAAATCTCTCTTTATGCAATCCTGGATGCTAAAAATAAATGGGAACTTATCTCCCTATTCTAAAAATGCACCCACTAACCACGAGAGGCGTTTTTTAACCGAGGGATTCTTTACACAGGAAACCAGGGATCCTTACAACACACTGGCAAGCTCTCTAAACGAGATACAAATACTTAATAACAGTCTGGTCTTTCTGAATGACCTGGACAAAGAGCTCTTGCCTTCTGCCTTCCTCTCCTGTGTCCTTCTGTCTTTTCCTCCCTTCATTTTTTTCTCTCCTTTCTTTCTGCCTGCTTTCTGCCTTGTTCCTGGACTGTGAACTGACACTTAGTCATATACCCAGAACTTAATTAATTAAGGTAAACCAAGGTAAATGTTCTGATTGCTTTGATCACTGAATCTGGCACCTCTTCATCTCGGCAAACCTTCCCTTACTTTTTTAATCTGGAAATGTTGACACGAGCCAGGTGTTTACCATTGTATCTAGATTCTTAAAGACACGTCTTAACAATATCTTCACATTTCTCCGTGCAGATTTAATTGAAGCAGCATTTTACTTGTGTTCCTATGAGTTTGCCATCAAGACCGTCAACTCTCCATGGTGCAATCTTTTTGATGAAGAAGATGCTAAGGTATTGAAATATACACTTGGAACTTTGCAGATGCAAAGGAGCATTCAGGACCAGACAGACAAGATAGCAGCTGTAGCTTGGAACAGTTAAACGTATGGTACTCTATAAAATATGCAACTGCACAATGAAAATGTTGCCGTCTGGATTTTACGTAAGCAGTTCATAGGAAACATAAGATGTAAGAAAGAGGGGAAGTTGAAAGTTGGAAGGTAGTTTGGGAGGCAAACTTTCTCAAGCACAACAACTCCGAAGCATGGCATCATCAAGATACAGAGTCTACAGGACTCCCATTCAGGCTAGACCTAATGAATCTGATATGGACATCAGAATTCCATTGCACCTACAGACTGGGTTTGCCAGGTAGCAGCTAACTCAATGGGGACCACATCATCATCTTAAGTGAATCACAGTTTTTGGATAGTATAACCAATGGAATTAGAAAAAAAGAAAAAGAATGTCATACTTTCTGTGATGAATACCCTGCTGTCCCAGTGAGAATTGAGGGCAGACAGAATCCCACATTTGCCAAAATATTATAGCCAAAAACAGGAGGCATCTGTCAAGAAGCTCAAGCACATTTATTTGTAGACGGAGGTCTTTCTAAATCAACTTGTGGGTACTGTATCATTCACTAAGGCCATGAATGAATTGTGTAGAGTATGGTATTCTGAAACAGGTGATATCGTTATACTTAGTTTAAAAGCTTTTTTGTTAGAGCTAGTAAAAAATTGATTAGAAGCTGTTTTTACCTTTACTTGTGTTTGGTAAAAACACTTTGCTTTCTATTTTGAAAGAATGCAGCTGATCAAAACAAAAAATAACAATTTAACACAAGTGTTAGTAGCATATTCATGTCTGTGTTACTCACGGCAGGTTCTGGAGTATGGAAATGATCTCAAACAGTACTGGAAGAGGACCTATGGTCATGAAATAAACCAAAAATCCAGCTGCCCCCTCTTTCATGACCTCTTCGAACGCCTAGACAAAGCTGCGGAGGACAGCAAAAAGTGAGTAAGAAAGAGTTCAACTAAAAAGATTTTCAATTATGAATGGATGCATTTTCAATGAAACACACTGGTGCAAAAAATTAAGCAACCTTAGCATTTTCAGCATATCCAGTATTTACAAGATCCAGAATAAGATTCACAGTAATTTACAATGTGTAGAAGAAGTGGGACTTTTCTTTGAATTTCTAAAGCTGCTGGCTCTTGAAAATAACACTTTTTGTTTTGTACAAGGTGCTTGCAGAACGTCATTGCCAATTGCCAATCATTGCTAACATGCCACAAAACTTTTTAATAAAATTTCTAACTTAAGTAGCTCCTTCTCTGCCAGCCTTCCTGCAACGACTGCTGTGGGCAAATGATGTAATCAGTCTATCAATTTTATATACTATACATGTAAGTAAGAGCCCTTCAATCCAGAGCATTCTCAAGGCACATTACATACATTATACATATAAAGAAGCACAGTAAACAAAAAATAAATATGCATCCCATGCATAAATGGGGAATTAAAAGAAAGAAATGGATGATGAATTGAAAACAAGCACATTTTGAGGTGGGATTTAAAAATGGCAGCAGAGGGGTCATTTTTAATATGGTCAGAAAGAGTATTTTAAGGGGTGAGGGGGGCTGCTGCTGAGAAAGCTCGGTCCCCTAACGTCCGATGTGAAGTTCTTGGAAGGCTGAGGAGTCTAGAGCCAGAGGACTGAGGCATGCGATCTGGGACATGTGGGGATAGTAACTCTTGAGGATACACAGGATGTGCTTGACTCCTTTCTTTTTTTGTCCAATCATACATAGCGATGGCGACACATGAAAAAGCCAATCAAGACACCTATAAAAGCAGAGAAGCTTCTTTTTTTCAATTACAATTTTGAGTCTCCAATTCTTTTTTTATCATGCTGTCACACATCAGCTCACAGGGAGAATGAGGAAGTGTAGACAGACTCCGGCGGCCCACCCTCCTTTGAACTGTTGGTCTTTTAAAACAAAATTCGAACCCTGATCATGGAGCGTGCTCAGGAGAATACATATACTGGTGGAAGGAGGAGGCCCAAGTCTTTTCACTCCTGTGGGAGATTATGCTGTCATTCCAAAAAAGCTTCAGCTCCTAGTGTTGAAGTGTGAGGAGTGAAGGTGGTGCAGGTTTACAGGACAACAATAAATATTCTTATTTCAACTGGGACAGTGATAGTGCAGATGTATGAATATGCATAGATGAATGATTCGTGCAGGAAAGTTGGCAGATCTTTCATTCCAGAAGGTGTGAGTATCTCACTTTGGTGACTATCACCAAACAAATCTGTAAGCATGTATAAAGATGTACATTAGATGAAAAGCTGTTAAGGTGTGTATTTGAATAGCTGTTTAATAATGTGACTATTTTAATTTAAATTATTTATTATGAACACACTACAAAATAAAATCACATCACATTTGTGTGCTTTATAGGGAGAGACCTGCAGAGGCAGTGATGGGCCAGAGGTCAGAGGTTCTGTGCCATTCAGGCAGCGCAAGAGTTCAATTTGAGGTTTTCTGTGGGAAGCAGGAGCGTAGGCAATTGCAGGAGAGGACAGGATCAAATATACAGTAACTGTCTGTAAATATGATGTTAGGTATTTACAATGGGTGTGTTTTAATTTTCATGTTAAGCACCTCAGTCTTGCAGCACCACCTAAAAATCCATGTACAGTGTGTGACAATGACCTGCATCCTGTTATCAAAAGTGAAGAAGCAAGAATTCATGGGAGCTGTCTGACTGTAGGGTGTAGGAAAATACTGGACAAGCTTGATCACATTGCTCTTTTATGAGGAAACTGTAACGAACAGTTCTTTCCGGACCCTATGCGGATGACACAATCCGACGGAGTGGGGAAACACTAGGGAAACGTCATGCAGGAAAACGGGGCTGAAGACAGGGGGGCGTGTCCAAGGTGCGCTGGTGCACGGGGAGGTGTGGCCGAGGCGAACAATCCCAAAGAGTAATCCATAGAGTATCCAAAACACGAAGGTAAGTCCATAGCCAGGAGATCCATCAAAACACGACGTTAAAACCACGAAGGCCGGGTCGGAACCGGCGGACAGGGGACAAGGAACAGGAACAGGGGTTAAAACCTTAACGGGACCAGGCGCTTCCAGGTCCCGGACTCGCACGATACGGAAATCAGATGCAGAGCCCGGAAGAGCGTCAGCGCCTGGCTTTTAAGGTGGGCAGGGAATGGGAAACAGGTGCAGAGAATGAAGTCTTTAGTGAAAGGGCTGGAGCACCCTTAAGGAGGGGGGACTATAGTCGTGACAGAAACCTTAAAAACAAGGTAACCCTGAGCAAAATAATTAAGAGGAAAACACAACTTAAAACCAAACATCCTAAGACAGTAGATAAAAAACTGAAAGAAAACATATGCATCCCATGTAATCCTGTTGGTACACACACACACACTTCTAATCCTGTTTGACTTTGAAAATACAAAGGAAGCTTGCAAGATTGGTAATGAAAACATCCTGTCCTAATTAAAATACTTGGTACAGTATATACACGCACACTAGTTCATAGACTGTGTTTGAAAATACATAAAAAATCAGCTTGCTAAAATACACAGATGGCAAAGTTTAAACATGTGAAAAAAGTAACTTGTTGCTCAGGCGTCCCAGGCAGACTCAAAACTACTTACTGTGCTGCAGCAGTAGTACTACTTCAAACTTGGATTGATGTTTTGCTGTTGTAGTTCTGAAACCTCAGCAAGGGTTAACATAAAAAAACATCAGCTTCGATGGCTTCTGCTTCGGCTTACACCTGAAGAAGGCTCCACAGCCGAAACGTTGTTTTCTTTCTTCTCTTTTTAGAGAACTTACTTGTTCCTTTGCAGCCTAAGCATGCTGACTCGGCTTCCCACCTGAACTTCTATGAAAAACATCTGTGCAATGGTATTCTGAGTTATTGAAAGCACAATATGCAAATGTAAGATTACTGAAGGGTATTTTTTGCACAAATTAGCATGAGTAGACTTCACAGAAGGTAGCACTGATGCAGAAGACTCCAATCAAATGGTCATATTAGAGTACATTTGTGTCATCCCTGACCAGAGTTCTGACCAACTTTAATACTAAATTTACAATTGACCTTGTTAAAGCTAATTTGTAGTGAAAAAGTGAAAAAGGATTTTTTTAAATTGTAACTATACCATATAGCAATTGCTAGTTATTATTTGTAAATGCTCCACAGCTTTATTCTGTTATAGAAGAAAATAGATAATTAATAGATACTATTACGACCCCAGGTGTCTAGGGGAAAAGGGGTGTAACATTTAGGATAATTCTTTTGGAAGCAGGTGGGTTTTGGTGAGGGACTAGGAAGCGTGATAAGGGTAAGGAACTAGAGTGGTGCCAAAGGAAAGAAAATAACAAACAAAATGGAGCTGGCTAAGACAGTGAGGGAAAGCTAACCTGACTACAAAAGAAAACCCGAAACACACGGTCTTCGGTGTCTTCAACACCCTAGCTAACCTGCACTGATTCTGCCTGGCGTACTTGAGAACACCTTTGCTTAGTCTAGTAAACTTTTGGAGCCGTCGTTTTACCATTTGGAGACAAACAATCGCTGTTTCTTTGAATGTTCACAATGCAGAAACTCTCGGCTTGCTGAAACTTCTCGACAGGACATTTTGGAGCCATCAGAGACTGGGTTGTCAATTTTAGAAAGCACTTTAGCCTCCAAAATGTAAAAACAAATAGGGAATCGGCATCAAATTAGCAAAAGCTGCTCAGGAGTTGAGGGCTGTATTATCCAATTCAGTATCCCAAGAAATCTGTATCCCCCTCCATAAAGTGTACATGCTCCACAAAACTTTCCTGGATACGCAATACAGGCAGCTTCTTGTGTATGTTTGTGTCTTTGCTTATCAGTATACATTTAAAAATGTGCATGTTGTTTGTGTGTGTTTTTATTGGCTTAAAGCTCAAGTTATCTTTACACAAGATAAAGAAACCAGAAAGAAAGCACACAAAGGCTATGTGCATCATTTGTCCTTATGTGTTACATCTAAATCATTTTATATGTGCAAGGTGAAAAAAATCCCACATCCCTGAGATAAGGGGGCGTGTGCATTTCGGAAGGGGGATACAGATTTCCAAGGAACACTGAACTTGATATGACACCTGTCACGCACAGAAGAGAAGCGTATAGGTCAGTACAATCGTGACAGAACCTGCTTCAAAATGCAAAAGAGCAGCTCCACTGTTTAAATCACAAAGGAACAGGCACTTTGTCCAAGTGCCTCGGGAGACAGCATGTGGCAAAGCCTCTGCTCGGTTAACACTCCCTTAAGCCCCCAGCTTTGAAAGACAAATACAGGAATCATTTGCTTGTGTACTGGAAATCTAATGAAAAGGACTGGGGCAAGGAAAAATCGTTCTTGGACAAGTTTAACAACTCTTTCATGCTCAAAGTTGAGTATTATATTTGCTCATATTTTCTTTCTAGTTTTAATATCAAGCCCTCCACCCATGTTCTTACCACTTCTTCCAATGTAGGGCTGGAGGGGAGCTGGAGCTGATCCCGGCAAGCAACAGGCACAAGGCAGGATTCACCCTGGACAGGTCGCTAGTCAATTGCAGGGCAGACACACACAGGCATGAACAGACTCACACCAAGGCTAATTTGCCCGGAAGACAATTATCCAACCAGTATGTCTTTGGACTATGGGAATGCAAACATGGGAAAACATACAAGCAATTCCGACCAGCATGCGTTCATGCCTCCTGGTTTTATAGTATAAGTACACATTTTGTAACGCATAATGTCAGATATCCTTATGCCTTTCTTTTCTCTGTATACCCACACACACAATAGTTTACTGGGTCTCTGATCTGTACTCCCACAAAGCAATCCATCACAGATTGCTCGGTGGAAACAAGACACCTATTCTATAAGGTCTTTTATACTGTATGTGCACTGGGGTTCAGTCACAATGCTTGTACTGGGAAGCCAAGATGAGAACAATATACAATTGGCTTTACTAAATCAGGTGCTTATAAAAAAAAGTTATCAGTTGTGTTAATTTTTTTTTTTAAATGAGCAAGATGTTTGGTTTTTTGCCACTATTTTGTATTAAAGGTACTACATAGGATTGTAATGTAATTAGGAATAGCACTAGGCTATTGCACCTTTTAGAGTTTTCCTAGTAGGCCAAAAAACACATAAACAATAATATGCAAAACTTGTAAAGATCTTTTGTAGTAACAAGAATTTCTCTGTTCAGCATTCACTGAAATTCACCGTATTATTCAACTTAAATCAATCTCAGTTACCATCAGAAACATTTTGCAACAGTACTGGAAATGATTAGGTGCAAAGACAGGATGTTTCACCATTTTCCAGTAAAGTCCTTATGAGAAATTGTAAAGCTCTGTTAAAGACATAAGCCATTTCTAAATAGAAATCAGACTTGCCATGTATATGTTTTAACAGTGAACGCAGTGTAAAAAAAAGGCTGCACTGTCCAGAGATGTAATTCACACCACGCTACAGTGGCACAACAGCTACTGGGATTCCAGTCTTTATTATAAAAGTGAGTGATGAGATTGACAGGTCAGTGGTATTCGCTAGATGGAGAAATAGACAAAACAACAGATCTGATCACTAACTGCAAAGATGAATTGTGTGTCAATCAAAAACGAAGGAGGCAACATAATCTTGATCCGACACACTGCAGTTCTTATTGTAAGTAAAGGTCTAGTGTTCTTGTCCAGGGTGCAAACGCAGTGGACCTGTGGTCGTGACATGGTCCCTGAGACATGCAGAGGTTCAGTCAGGGGTTAACAAGATCTCGAAATTACCTTGTGCCATCCATTCCTGGGGTGTGGAGTTCAGATTGTGATCAGGTCAAGGCAAGAGACTAATAGAACACAGCTAACTTCTTGTAAGCTGTGACTTGTCCATGTGGCTACCAGGGGTGATAAACATTTGTAGTTGGTCATTTATATTGCTTACCAAATACGTACAGCAAAGGTCTGTGATTTAGTTTAATTAGAAAAGCAGTATACAAGCAATGGAATATCTCTCAGAACCTTCAGAAGCACTATCCCATGTATATCGGGAGGGACTCAAACATTTTGTAAGTCAGTGTGGAGCTTAGGCCTTTGTTGTTGTTTTTTCCTCACTCTGTAATTAAAGGGCACTAGTTCTGTACCTTACTGCTGTGTTTGTATCACTTTTCCTGAGATGTACCTATTAAGAGATCAAAGGCATCCAAGTCCCCTGTGTGCCACAGCCAATAGAACCAAGAGTTTCTGTTCCGAAGCACAAAAACCCCAGAGAAAATAAACCATTCAAACAGGTAAAATAAAGGCTGGAACCACAGGTTCCCCCCCACCCTGGCACTGTCAGACAAATGTTTTATTTAACAAATGTTAAATAAACAGTCCTCTTTCGCTTGAATCACAGGGTGATTGCACCTTGGAAAAGCAATCAGAATGTTACCTTTCCCTCACAATTCCGCATCTCATGATATTTATGTGAAATGTAATGCTGACTTGCTAAACTGTTCTCATAGAACAAAAAAACACCTGTTTTGAAATCTGGAGATATATGTTTGCTCCAATATAAAGGTGCCTTTTTGCTTTTTTTTTAACAAAGTAATCACCTTTTAAAATGGCTATATTCTTGGTTATGGAACTTGCTGACCATTAAATCCCTGTGTTGCACCTAGAAAATGGCCTTTTCTTTTTAAGTTTTTTCCTCTAAATGCAGTCTCATGTGCTCATCCCATACAAACAGTGCAAAAGCAAGTAAAAAGAAGCAAAATGCCCAACAAAGACAAGGGCACGACTAAGGGCTGTGGGCGTACTGGACCATTGAGCCTTGGAAGCCGGTTCCCTTTTCTTGAGAAATGGCGGGATGAGATTCTCAGATCACTTAGCTACTGAAAACTAAACAAGCTACAGTAGATGGCTTCCTGTTGTTTGCAGACAATATGTTCTTAAAAAGGAAACAGTTCTGATTTAAACCCACAAAGTACTGTAACAGGAACTCAACAGACGGGAATGAGAACGGGAGGCGATAGTGCTGCTCGAATAACACTGAAGAGGGCTCAGAATCATTCTCTGATGTTGTGTTGATCATGATTTAAGATCCAATTTTGTGATTTTATTACAAAACCTTATTTAGCAATGAATTGCTAAATTGGCGGTTGTGCTCTAATAGTGCAGTGCAATGATAAACAGAATTGACTTTGGTACGAATATGATTTAAATGGGTTTCCACATGAGAAAATCACAATAACAGAGTCATGTGTTACACGCAGTTCACTGGCACCTGTAAAGTATGTCACTGTATAAAATATTTCCATGTTGATTTGGAATGTACTTGCATTTAGCCTAGAGACAGATACTCAAGAATTAATATTTTCTGATATCATTATCTAGCAAGATTGCTATTACATATTATAAATTCTGTCAGTAAAAATGGGAAGAGACAGAAGTGTGACTGACTGGGCTTTTGTTTTTTGGTTTGTCTGTTCTTACGAGTAAATTATATGCACGTTGAGCAAACAGACTCCATATTATAGAAAGACTTCCTTAATAGCAGGATGAGGAGCTTTTTAAAACCATATACTTCTCAGAGGTCCACTCCTTCCCTGGTCAGATAAATCACCATTGTTGACACTATCTCAATTTAGGTGTGGCTCTGTGTTTGACAAGACATTTACTTTTCAAACTCGCTATCATTATTGCGTTTGCCATTAAACTTCACAGCTTTCTTATCATCTTTCTGATCCACAGATGAAGAAATAAACACCATAATGTAAAATAAATACTGCAACGAATATATAGTTTAACCTTTGGAGACATTTTTATATTAGGGACGGCCTTCCTTGGGTAACGTTTTAAACAGCTGCTAGATGTCTTCAGATGCACAAAGTGTGCAATGAAGTATGTGCTAATCTATCCATTCACTTTCTAATCACTTCCTCCAATTCAGGGTTTCAGGGGAACCAGAGCCTATCCCAGCAAACAATGTACACAAGGCAGAGTACACTCTGTACGGGACACCAGTCCAGGGCAGATAGACACACAGACAAACACGCTAACACTAGGGTTAGTTTTCCCAGAAGCCAGTTAACCTACCGGTATGTTTTTGGACTGTGGGAGAAAACCCATACGTCCCAATGGGAGAACACACAAACTCCACACAGACAGAACCACAGGCCCAGAACTGAACCCAGGGCTCTAGGCTCTGCTGCGAGGCTGCAATGCTAACCACTGTGTCAGTGTGCCACCCAGTATGTGGTGATACACTATATATCCCTATCATTCTGAAACGTCCAGTTGATCACTTCTATGATAATTGTGTGACATTATTGTATGTATGGACTGTGACATGTTAAAGAGTTGTATATAAGAGAAATGAGCATTGATTATCAAGTGGGTAGTGCAACCTACAAGGGAACTAACAGGTTAATTCCCGCAGTGAAAAGTAAAAAGCAAGAGGAAAAAAACATTTCAACTGTCAAAAAAAGCTTTGGATATCTTATAAACACATGTACTATCAAGAAGATTATTGACACCCCATTTGTTTCAATTGTGTCCGTCCTTGAGAAACTGGAGACAATATTGAGCAAAAGCTCTGTGGTGAAAATCCTGTTGTGCAAATCTAAAGTGTGTTGGTTTAGGAGGAAGTTACACTGCTGTGTCATTTAACATTTTGTAAAATGTGTAAGTATGTTATAATTTATACCATTTGTTACATAATAGAGTAAGCAAAGTTTGGGGGTTAAGGTTTCACCCAGTTCCTCAGAAACCTCAGAAATTATAACAACATTTGGTGGCTCAATAGCTTATTATTACAATGGCTTAAAAACAGAGCAATCGGTCATTGTTTTTTTTCTAAGTAAAGCAGAAAAAAATAGTCCCAGTTCATGTATTATTTATAGAGGGTTTTGTAGCACAGCTGCTGTAAAAATCTGCCTCTAAGCCCCATCGCAGAAAGGAGGATTCAGTCCATCCTTGTGTTTGCCTCTCAGGTTTGCCACTGTCGAAAAGCCGGTGACCATACAGGTGGGCCACGCGGAGACCCTCCTTCCCCTCCTTTCCCTCATGGGCTTCTTCAAGGACGAGGTTCCCCTGACCTCCGACAACTTCGCCCAGCAGCAGAACCGCACCTTCCGCAGCAGCCAGATCGTGCCCTACGCCTCCAACCTGGTGTTCGTGCTGCACCGCTGTCGGGACAGCCACAGGGTGCAGCTCCTGCTGAACGAAAAACCGCTGCCCTTCCCTAGCTCCAGCGACCCCGCCCCGGAGTATCACAGCCTCCGGGACCTCTACGGAGAGCTGCTGGAGGGCTGCGACGCCAGGCGGGAGTGTGAGCTGCCCAACCACAATTTGAGCAATGCGGAGCTCTGAGCACCCCAGGCCTGAAGCTCAGAGGGGCGAGGGGGGCTGTGCCTGCTGCGTTGTCTGCTCCCTGTTACCCTGGGTGTTTCTTAGTAGCCGCCATCTCGGGGGCCCCTAGAAACAAACGGAATATCTGGCATTAGTTTTTAGCACCATTTCCATACTGAGGCATGGGTTTGTTGCGTGGAAGCAGTCTCAATAAGACCTTCTTTTTCTGTACACCACTAGACTGATTGTGAAGAATATCAGTTCCCTAACTAGCTTCAGTGCTTTAGTTTGAATAGTATAACAGCCTTTAGGGAGAGTTTGCCCTAAAATTTTCACCTTTTTACCTAATCTGTACTTGTTGACTGACAGATAAATGTACCGTAAGGGATATTTTTTTGTTGGCTGCCTACATATTATTCGTTTTTTGCACAGTTGTACAGTTGACTGAATTCTGCCAAGGGGTATCTCCCTTCTGTTTCAATACTGCATAGATCATACTTTTGTACTGTGTTTTCTGTAATGATGCAGGAGAAAGTAAACATCAGAAGCGAAACTGATTCTAGATAAATTTGAACTCTGCTTATACAACTCAGTGCATCAAATAGCTTTTACCCTAGCACATATTTAACAGCAAGCCCACCTTGGACTGAACAAAGCAGTGTTATAGTGTGGTGTGGTAAGCAGGATCTACAGCAGGGGTTCCTCATACTGGTCCTGGAGGCAGGCCCATATGCATGGTCGTTCATTCCAGGTGAGCTTTATTACCTGAGCAAATCCTTATTTTAACTAACAAGTTGCATGATTGAAATATGTATGTTTTTCTACAACAATTTTTGGATTTTATTTTACTTAAGAAATGAGATAGTTACAAGGCAACCTACAATGTTCTTAAGAGATGAACCAGCGAAACGTTGAAATGAATACCATTATTAAGTCAATAAGGGTTAAATCGTGTAACTGGGAGCATGACTGGAACAAAACCAGCAGGCATGTGGTCTTTCAGATCCAGTACGGGGAACATGTGCTGTAGATCCTATTTCCCACACTAAACAAGAACAGTGCCTTGTGCAGTCCAAGGTGGGTTTGCAATTACATTATTAAAGTAGGCATCCTGTCCAACTCACAAATCATGAGTAAAACAAGGTTTGGTCTCTAATATGATAACTTATAGACTAATTTTATTGACTACCTCGGAAATTATAGGAGTTTTAATGAAGGGTAAGTATCCTTACAGTATCTTTAAAGTTTGATTATTTATTTTCTAGTTGAGTGATTTCACATTTTGGCAGAAAATTCCTGAAGGCCTTGTGTTTTTAGAATCAGATCTAAAACACACAGCACTCACATTACTGATATTTTAATACATGCTTTACAAATAGCACTTTATATAATAAAGTCTTTTTTTCTTATGCTACAAAGTTTCAGTTTGATTTGGTGTAGGAACAATTCCAACGGCACAATTTATTACATTAAACAGTTCTGTAGAAAAATAGACCAATTTATTCACGGTAGTTACTGTTGTGCTGTAACTTCATTGGAAAAGAAGAGATACTGAACCACAGATCAAGAAAGCATTCCATACATCAAATGTATTGCTTGTATATGTAGGACATTAGTAATACAATTCTGTATGCCACAGCAGTGTTTGAAAAAGCTTTCTGTGTACATAAGTGTTTTCAAAAATAGTCACATTTCATCTTTCTACCTACACTGATTGGGTATTTTCCGAACTTAAAAATATAGCAAGATATACTCATTGTTAAAATGATATTTTTACTGGTAAGTACATTTCTATATTTTTTAAGACAATGATTGTATGATTTACTGCATTGCCAGGTAATGTGTAAGTGTAAGGTGCTTTTTTCCTCAAAATACTAGTAACTTATATTTTGTTGTGATTATTTATTGATTCCTTTGGTATTTTATTGTGCTCGTTTCAAAAGTCCAATAACTTTGTAGGAAAAAAAGCAATTTGTCTGGCCAAAAAATAAATAGAAACCAGTAGACATTTTGATTACTGCTTTAATCCAGTTACATATGCTGAAGGCTGAATAAAAGTACAGCAGCTTTTGTAAGGTTACAAACTATACAACCTGCCTTTAATTGTTTTTATTCTTTTTGCTTAAAGATTTTTTAAATAATTGTTGGTAGTGTAAATTATTATGAAATTAGGACCAGTCTGTCTTAGTAAGGATACTATGAGCTCATCTGACTTTTCATTTATGAAAAATAGTTTCTCTCAAGGGCTTGGAAGACAATTAAGTCAAAACAGATGTGTTTTATGAAAATGTGTCTAGAATTCTAATACTGCAAACATACTGGCAGGAATGTGTCTTTTCCCCTATTGCTACATTTATGGGTGGGTGTGTGAGAAATTTGCTTCTGAGTGAACAATGAACAAGCTTTGCACAGACCTACAGAGCCCCCCAGATATATTCATACTCCTGATGGAATAGGAGCAATAAACATTAACAGCATAACAGAATGATTTACACTTTATTATTTTCTTTACAGATTCTAAAATGTTATACAGTAATCATAATGGCTTTGCACATCTCAAAATCATATTTGACAGAAATAAAGACCAGAAAAAAAACAAGGGTCACATTTATTCACCCCCTATAGTTATGCTATTAATCCTCCTGTGGTAAGGATTACACTGAATAGATGCCTCCTGTAGTGTGCTATGAGATTTTGGCACTACAGAGAGGATATTTATGAACATTCCTCTGTGTAGAATAACTCCTCTTTCCTTCAGTCCCTTTAGTTTCCTTTGGTTTTAATGCCATCTTGAGTTAGAATCACAAATGTTCAATTGGATTGACATTGCCAGATTAGAACGTTTGTATGCAGTTATCCATTGCTTTGTCAATTTGGATGTATTCCCTGGATCATTGTCATGTTGGAATGTCCATTTCCAGCCAAGTTTGAGTTTCTTGGCAGAAAGCACCAGGTAGCTAGCCAGAATGTCCTGGTACATGCTGGAGTTTATGAATTCCCTTGACAAAGTCTCCAGGACCAATACATGCAACCCGCCCCTCAAAGCATAACAGACCCCTCCACCCCACAATATTTCACAGTTGGTATAAGACTTTTCTGAACATGAGCTGAATCTTTTAACACCAAGCATAACACTGATGAACTTGCCCAAAAAGCACCATTTTTAATTCATCTTACTAGAACACATTGAAATAACTGGAATAATCTGTGACAGGAAAATTCCTAGAAAGTTAAAGTGCAAAATGTACAAGACTGTGATTAGACCTGTACTACTATATGGAGCTGAATGCTTGGCAGTTGGAAAGAGGGAAGAGAACTTGATGACAAGAACTGAAATGAGGATGTTGAGATGGATTCTGCAGATTTCAATGAAGGATAAGATCAGAAATGAAGAAATCCATAGACGATGTAGGGTGGTGGATGTGGTTGAGAAGATGCGAGAGGCGAGGTTACGGTGGTATGGACATATCATGAGGAGGGATGTGAGGAAGTAACAAAGAGGGTGATGGAATTTGAGGTGGAAGGTAACAGAGGAAGAGGCAGGCCTAGAAAGAGATGGATAGATTGTGTGAGAAAAGATATGGAGGTATGTGAAGTGAGTGAGGAAGATGTGCTCAACAGAGACAAGTGGAGAAGAGCAACCAAAGCAGCTGACCCCAGGACAGTCTGGGACTAAGGCTGTGAAAAAGAAAAGAAGAAGAAGAAGACTAGAACACATTGTTTCAGTTGCCATTCAAATGCTGCGGGGCAAGTTTGAGTTGCCTCTTTTTTACTGGTCCACAAAAGGGGCTTCTTCCTAGCAACTCAGCTAGGAATGTGCAGTACTGACCCAGGTAACCTAAATGGTATACATATATATTTTTTATTTTGTATCCTGAAGATGCCACTGTGTTTTAGAGATCTCCAAATGTTGACTTTGGATTTATAGTTGCTACTGAATATTTTCCATGTGTTACCTCCTCTTATATCCCAGAGAAACAGGAAACCTTTGACGCCCTATATTGTTCCACTACACTTCCAATACACTGAATGTTGTTCACTTGTATTTTAAAGGAAAACTTGGATGGGGTGAATAAATGTGACCCTCTTGTTTTCTGGGATTCAGTTAATTGTGATAAATACAACTTTGTCCTGTGCCATGCTAATAATGATTGCAATCCATCACTATTCGAATTTTTTAAGTGAGACACGTTAACCAGCCTATAACTACATCTGCTATATGATGATTTTGTTCCTATTGCATGGGAGGGAATAAACAAGTCTGGAGAGCACTGTATGTTTACATTTTTAAAAGTTAGTGTCAATACTGTATTTACCCTATAGAAGCCATGTTAACTGAACCATTTAGTCAGAGGACTTTTGTTTTGTATCAGAATTTCCCAATATAATTTTCTATCTTCTCTGGTACTCTGTCACAGCTATTGTCACTTGTTCTGTATAAAACCACCACACCACACACCACACAGCGAAATTAATAAGGATGTTCTGGCCACCACAAGATATTAGTCTTTTTAGTCTTTAGGGCTCACCTTCTCTCTAAAAATCCTCATCAGTAGTATTTACTATGTGTGTTCCTGATTGCTTTTTTAATCTTTTCTAATGTAAATAGAATCTGTATTACAAAGTCTGTAAGAGGCAGTCCTGCAATCTGGGTTTCTTGGGCTGCTTTTATTGCTGTGATCAGAGCAGCGAGCATGCACACATTCAGTGGGGTTTGTTTCCAGTGAATGACCAGATAAAGGCAGACACATAATAATATAATAATAAACTAAAATAATAATAAACATATATAGCACTTTTCTGGACACTCCACTCAAAGTGCTTTACAAGTAATTGGGACTTCCCTCCACCAGCACCAAAGTGCAGCATCCACCTGGATGATGTGACAGCAGCCATAGTGCACCAGAACGCTCACCACACATCAGTTATCAGTGGTGAGGGGGACAGAGTAATGAAGCCAGTTCACAGATGGGGATTATTAGGAGGCCATTCTCGAAAAAGGCCAGGGGGAAATTTGGGCAATTTTATTAAAAAAACACCCTGGGATTTTTAATGACCATGGAGAGTCAGGACCTCAGTTTTACATTTCATTTATAGAATGGCATCTTTTTTACAGTGTGGTGTGCCCATCACTATACTCGGACATTGGGACCACAAAGACTGCAGGGTGAGCACTTCTTGCTGGTCTCACTAACACCTGTTCCAGCAGCAATCTTAGCTTTCCCTATAGGTTTCCTGTCCAGGCACTAGCACTGATCAATGCATACTATTTGATAGAACTATATTCTCCAAAAGGGACTTTTGTGCTCGTCTGTCCAAAAAGTGCCATTATCACAAGTTCCTTAGAGGGATCTTCAGGCTTTTTCTTTTGTGCTGATCCCTGTTCACTCTCGTGTAAGGATTTTCATGTGAAATTTGTTTTTATAACATTATTGTAAGTAAAGCTGTTTATAAAACGATAAAGGCGGAAATGTGTACCAACAGATTATGATTAGGGCTCCCCCTTTGTGAGGAGCCCATATAAAGTTCCTTAGAGTCTTTGGACCCCTGATTTGAGAATGTATGGTTATCTGGACGAATTCCAGTGAAAAACTCTTCCATTAAACCCACATCCTGGGACTGCTGATCTCTTATATGGCAATATTTTGCTTGCGCTTGGTGTGGTTTTAGAATGAACACGAACTAAATCTAGAAAATGCTGGCATCTATTTAACTTAATCTAACTAAAGTATAATTATGAACACTTAATCATTTTTCAAGGTACTGATTCCTCACAACTCTTCGATACGGGTAGCCTAATAGATTAATTTAAAGCACTGGACTGCTAAAACAAGCTTCAGTTGTACTTTGCATTTGTGCTTTGGCCCATCTTTTTGCAATAACCTCTTAGTCCAATACAGGGTCGCTGGATCAGAGAGTGAACAATTCACTCAAGATGTGATGTCCTAGACTGGACACCAGTCTATCGCTGGACACACACGCACACTGGAGAGGGAGGGGGGGTTATGAAATGCCTATTAACCCACACAGCCCGTCTGTAGACATATATATATATAAGGAAGCCTGAGACACTCGAATAAAACCCACACACTCCATATACTGCGGATAGAGCCCCCAGGTCGGTATCGAAGCCGCCGTGCGACATCAGCGCTAACCGACACATCATCTCGATGCCTTCCTGCGCTTACATTTAATAAGGGAACCAAGTTTTCGTTTATGCAGGAGGATATTTGGAGCTCTCCACTATGCTATAGCCCTGTATTCTGCAGCGCAATAACCTCGATCGCGACAGAAGGAATGACTTCGAAATCTGTAAGTGTTTCAACATGTTTGTGCCATTGCGGCCGGATCCCTTCAGTTCTCGGTGTTCTGTGCAGGAATGTGGAGATTCTGACGCGCTGGGCTGTTCTTTACAGTGTATGCAGATGAGCGGATTTAGGAGGGGGGAAAGGGGCAGGACAAGGGAAATGCTACGTGTCTTGAAGCCTTTTAAACCCCTGCTCTTCTCGTTTACTTGCTCCAAACTAATCAAATACCTTAAAGCACAAGACAAATTCCGACCAGCCGTCAGAGGTCGGGAAGTAAAGGGGTCCGGGATAAAAGACTTGTCTGCAACATGTCTGGAAACAAAAAGCAAAAAACGGTAAGAAAACTGCATTACTGACTTTTCTTTATCTACACGATGCAATCTCCCTCAGTTTCAAATGACATTTCTTTTCTGCCGGGAATTTACAAAATAACTCAGAGTTAGCAAATATTTGAACTCTTGCGGGGAAGTGATGATGAGAGTTTATTGAAAGAAGAAAGCCCTATTTCTTGCAGTCTCATAGACAAACATACAACCTTTTGATTAACATTTTATAAGACAGCTAATGCTTGTTATCTTTTTCAGTTAGGTTTGTCCACGAATGCTTGTGAGACTGAGATGACTGTATACTGTAGCATGAGGGCGATCACTTACTGAAAAAACAGTCCATTCATGAGCATACGAGCTCGCTCTTCTAAAACTGTCATTTCTTGAAGCGTAAGAAATTTTCTTCTCCTGCTTAACGTACCCGAATAACGTGATAAATAGTGAATAACTAGTTTGAATTCTTATTTGTTGGGAAGGGCATGCAGGAAAATGAATATTCGTTTTCTAAAATGAAACCTTGAGAGATCACCATGTCCTCCAGTCTGTTTTCTTTACAAATAAAACCATTAACATGAACCAGAAGCACACAACACAGCATTCTGGCTAATCTCCTATATCCTTTGCGTAAGAAGAAAGTCTACTTTTGAATGTAATCCAAATATTTATAGTTAGTAAATTCAATATTTCTTTAATAGGGAAGTTTGTCAAAAATATGTCTGACAAATTCAACCACAATTTCTGATTATTATTTGATCTAGCTGTGTGTTTTCAATTGCCCGTTTCAAATAATATTTTTGTTTCTAGGAATCAGTGTTTGCACAGACAGTGATCAAAATGCCTGTTTGAGAGACTTCCCTGAATTGAGCATCATCTCAGGGGTACCTCAGGCTTCACTTGCATTTTACTTTTCATTTAAATAGCAAGAAGACACGTCCTTGTGAGGACTGACTTACTGTCCTGAACGTTTCAGAACAGAGATAAACTATTCTCTCTTTAAACCATTCAAGAGGTCTTTTCACCACCTACAGTATGTGTAGCCTTTCTTCTTAGACCTGTAAATGAAAGTTAATTTCTTAATTTGGGCATTCAAAATTAACTAATTTCTATAGTTCTGACCTATCTCTTTTAAATCAATTTTGCATTCATTTGTATTTTCCAACACCCACATATTTTCGGTATTTTTACCAGTAAAAATAACAAGTTAGACAGCAGATACAGTAACACTTTAATCATGAACTACCGAAGTCTATTAATGCATTTGTTTTTTAACTGCTTTTCCAATGAAGGGTTTCTGGGGAGCTGGTGCCTATCCCTGCTCTCAATGGGCACAAGGCAAGATACACCCTTGATGGGACGCCATTCCTTCACTGGGTATACACAGACAAACACACACATTCACACAAGGGGCAATTTTCCCAGAAGCCAATGGAAACCCATGTGAACACAGGGAGAAAATAAATGCAAACTCCACACAGACAGCACCCCAGGAATTTAACCCAGGGTCCCAGAGCTGTGAGGCAGCAATGCTAACTAATGGTATGTGCCACCATGCTACCCACTACTGAAGACATTTGTTCTTAAATAAGAATAGTTACAGATGAGAGGACACCATTCAGCCTCGCTAGCCCGGTTAGTAGTTAGTAGTTAATTGGTCCAAGAATTACACCTAACACTTTCTTGAAATAAACCACAGTATCGGTTTCAACCACATGGGTTCCTTGTTCCATACTGCCACAACCCTCTGAGTGAAGATGTGCCTCCTGTTCTCAGTTTTAAATGCACTTCTAATTATGAGTATGCTCTCAGGTTTTTATTTCAATGTTCCTTTGATTGAAATATGTTGGTCTGACTTTGTCATTGCCTTTGAGGATTTTGAATTCTTGTGTCAGGTCCCCTTGTAGTGTTCTCTGTTCAAGATTAAAAAGGTTCAGTTCCTTCAGACTGTCAGGGTAGGACATTTTCTTAAGCCCCAGAATGTATCTATTTGCTTTTCTCTGGACTGATTCCTGAGCCGCCATATATTTTCTATAATGTGGTGACTGTAATTGTACACAATATTCTCAGTAAGACCTTACTAGTACATTAAACAGTTTTAACATTACATCCCTTGATTTAAATTCTAGACTTTTACCTGTACATCCAAGCATTTCCTTTGCCTTTTTAATTGATTTCCCGCATTCGTTGGAATATATTAATGATGTGTCAACAACTAAGTCTTTAACTAAGTAATCATTTTCATAAGTAAATGTTTGAATTCTCAGGCAAACCACAGAAATGCTTGGTTTCATATATTTTTGCAATCTTCAAAAGCAGTTCATCACATTAAATATACCAGAGACTGATTAAAACATATTTCTAGTAAGGCATTAAAGAATTTAAGTGAAACACTGCATTTTCCAGCTGTGAACCAAATACCAAAAAACGGAGCAAATCCACTGGCCTAGTGCTTTGTGCATTTATTAATGAGTCCAGCTTGAATCAGTGAGTTACAGTATGTAAGGGTTTGGAGTCTGTGTGTACAAGCTACTGAATGAGTTAATGTTTCATCGCTACAGTTTACATGGCACTACACAGGTTTACAATATGTTGTAAAACAAAACAGAGGCTAAAGTACCGAGGAATACAAAGAGTTACAATGAAAAATCTGAAACCACTCTGAAGTAAGGAAAGGTGTATTTCCAAAAGGATTAAACAATTGTTTTGCCTAACCAAATTCCCTTTATTCAAAGTTCATGGTGTTGGTAAGCTTAAAATTTAAGATAAAAACTTGAAAAGCAGGAACGCTAGTTTTAATCCTGCTTTTAACAGCAACCTTTCACACGCATGCCATGTTATACGTGTTGTAAACTGGTAAAACTGCTAGTGCAGTTGTATTTGTTTTGTCTTCACAGTCAGGCAACGATAATTAGAATACAAACAATATGATTAACAAAACGATTGGATTTTCCGGAACTACTAACACTCAACATGAAAGAGTTCTTAAACAAAGTGTTGTATACTTTACTGTGCAAATATTTATTGGAATATATTACATCTTGGATATGTGCTGGCACTTCATGTTAGCTGTCTTTGTTTTTGCTCTGACATTTATTTTCCTTTTAAATAAAAAAAAACAATATTTAATTATGCAAAGGAACAGGTAATAGGTTTATTCCATGCTGAAAAGAGAAGAAAGGAAACACAATGTTTCAGCTGTGAAACCTTCTTCAGGTGGCTTCACAGCTAAAACATTGTGTTCTCTCTTCTCTTTTCAGCATGGAATAAACCTATTACCTGTGTCTTTGCAAACTGTGCATGCTGAAGCAGCTACCCACCTGAAGTACTTTATTTAATTATTACAGCTATAAGAAAGCCCAGTTTGATTCTGAAGTGTGATAAAGCATGTTCAATGGTTTATCTCAAGCTAATTTAAAACATCACACTGTACAGTGGTATTTCTAGAGCTTGTAGCTCTAGGTTTGTATGTCGTTTGCCTGAAATGTGAAGTGATTGTTAAAATGACTTTTAATTACTCCAATATTTTTTTAAATGCAGCAGTGAATCATGAAACAGTCACAAGTAGAAACGAAGGAGAGGTGCATTTAGAACTGACTGCATTACACAGAAAGTTGTGGGAGTGTGGAGCAGGTTACCTATCCAAGTTGGCAAAGCTAATTGTTTGGGTGCTTTCAGGAAATAATAAATAATAAATGATAAGGTTGGTGGTTCAAATCCCAAGGTTGGCAGAGGAATCCTACTCTGTTGGGCCCCTAAGCAAGGCCAGTAACCCCAACTGCTCCAGGCGCACTGTATAAATGACTGACCCCAAGCTTCTCTCCATGTCTGTATCTCATGGAGAGCAAGTTGGGGTATGTGAAAACACAAATTCCTAATACAATAAAATTGTATATGGCCAATAAAGTGATCTTATCTTATTTGTAATAATTTTTATTTTCTTATGTCTAATAATAAGATCTAATATTAAGAAAAATATTTATCACCAATCACCCTAGATACAGGTGTGTGCTAAACAAATAAAAAAATAATAATAACATATATTCTGTCACATTCCATATATATAATATTCTTTTGCCATCTTTAATTTCCCCTAAAACAATCAACTTGTTTTGTGTTGTTGATATTAGGTCAACCTTCAGGTTGATATTATTAACTATCTACGTACTGTAGTCTAACCACAACCCTGTTTAAAGCTTCCCCAGCTGGGATAGAATAGTTTTCTGGAGGGGTAAGGCAGGCCACAGGGAAGTGAGTTAGGGTGGCATTTCAGTGTGACACAGGCTGTGGAGTCATTGCTTGGTTATTAACCGTCTTACCACATTGGATGTTAGACTGTCAAAAATAATATAAGAAGTTTGCATTTCAATAAGCCAAACAGAGAGCACAAAACAGCGTTTAAAACAAAAGTTTGGGAGGATGTTAGACTCTTATAAGGCACACTCCCACCTACTTCTGTTTTTACATCCCTTTCTCTTCACCATCCCTTAAAAATGGGGTTCCCACAGCCCCATTCTTGTGAACAGATTGTCGTTCTCCTGTACCAGGTCAGTTATCCCAGTAAAACACATTAATTGAGTCACGCCTTGTCTCAACCTCAATTACGGTTTGACTGAACTGCTGAAATACAGTGAAGTAATGAAGTAAAATGAAGTAAAGCCAGTCTAAGAAATACATGAGTTAAACAGCCTGCTAAAGCAGGTCAAATATGAGTTCGACCAAAGGCAGTTGTAGGCTTATAAAAGGCCTCACACATAACCTAATAGTACAGTAGGTAAAGAAAATATTAATTTAATATTTTAACATTTAAATGGTCATTTAAAACTGGTAACCGAAATGCACATTGTCTATTGGGTACATACAATCATGTTTGCCTCCTCTCTTCCGAGTTACAAAGTTCTGATTCTTTAATTCACATAAACTTTACAGTTTCAGTTTCATCTAATCCATAACAAAGTGCAGCTGTCTGGGAGGGCAGGGTAAAATCTAGGACAAAGGTCTACAGACTCACAGTC